AGCAAGAGCAGGGACCCGAGCTCGATTCCCGGTATCAAAAAAAAAAAAATCAACCAATAACAAATGCTGGCAGGGGTGTAGGGAGAAAGGAACCCTTCTCTATTGCTGGTGGGTGTGCAGACTGGTACAACCACTGTGGAAATCAGGATGGAGATACCTCAAAGAACTAGGGCTAGAGGTCCCATTTGACCTAGCTATTCCCCTGCTGAGTATCTTCCCAAAAGAATTAAAACCACCATACCACAGCGATATATGTGCACCCATGTTTATAGCAGCACAGTTTGTAATAGCTAAAGCTTGGAAACAGCCCAAGGACCCATCAACTGGAAACTGGATAAAGATGTGGTTTTTATAAAATGGAGTATTACTCAGCCATAAAGAATGAGAAACTAGAGACATTTATAGCTAAACGGATGCATGAGGCCATATTCTTAAGTGAAATAAATAGGACACACGTGTTAATACAGAATAGTTTCTCTAGTGCAAGAAACAAAGTGTAAATAAGGATTAAAATGACTAAAATGAATAATTGATAATTTGAAACATTAAAAGGTCCAAAGGTGTAGGGGTGGAGGGGAAGGGGAAAGGAAAAATGAGAAAAGAAAAAAAATGGAAACAAAATCTATGTAAATAGGGAAAGGTGGAGGGGCCAGAGGGGATGAAGGGTGCACAGGTAATGGGGAAAAAAATAACCAAGATACATCATGTACAGGTACAAGCACCCAATGATAAATGTAAACATATTGTATACCTAAAATGTACGAAGAATTAAAAAAAAAAAAAAAGAAAAATCAAAGCTTTTTTCCCTGAAATTTGCCAAACAGTATTAAATAAGCCAAATGTGGTGGTGTACACCTGTAATTCTAGCACTAAAGAAGCTGAAAGGCACAATATGAAAAAAGGAAAAAAATGGAAAATCTTTGTAAATAGGGAAAGAGTGGAGGGGGTGAAGGGAGGGCAGGGGAAAGGGGAAAAAATAAGAACCAAGATACATCATGTAAAGGTCCAAGATCCCAGTGATCAATGTCATTATGTTGTATACCTAAAATGTACCAATAAACGATGAAAAAAAAAAGCTGAAAGGCAAGAGGATCGCCTCCAGTTCGAGGCCACCTAGGCTACATAGTGAATTCAAGGCCTGAACCGCATAGTGAGACCCTGTCTCCAAAAGACATACATACATATATTTTTGGTTTGGAGGAAATAAGCATGAAAGATACCAAGGTACATGTGTTCTGGCATCTGTCCTGAAGAGCCCTCAAGGATTCTCTCAGAACCACTCTACTGTAGGCATTCATTTTGGCTTCAAGAGAGAAAACCTTTACACCATAAAAAATTTAAGTTTTAAAGTTCATGCACCTATGAATCTGAGGGACTAACATTTGTGCTTTCTGGTGTTAGAGAGAGGTAGAAAAAACTATTACTTCTACTTTATTAGGCAGACTAGATAGGTAAGGATATTTTAAAGTTCATTGAGTGCCTCCTCTGTACCAGGTACTGGAGATGCAGAGGTGGACAACTATAAAGTCCTGGCTCTCGTGGAGTTTATTTATACTCTACTCTAGTTAATTTCAGTGAAAATCACCACCTTACATTTAATCAGAGTGGAAATGTGGGAGTACAATTCTGTGGAATAAAGAAATAATGCAATACACATTAGTAAACAACTTAGAATTTATTTTGAAAGTAGGAAATAAAAAGCATGATTTTAACATTTAAAACATTAAGAAAATTAGAAAAAGTTAAACTACAGAAAAGGCAGATATTAAAATTGGCGTAATGGCTATATAATACAAACAAGCAAAACCCAAGTTTCTTTCATGCAAATAAGCACTAAAGAAAATAGTATGGGAATGTTTACAGAATAGGCCACAACTAATGTGTTAAAAATTTACATAAGAAACTGTACAGAAATGGAAAAATAAATTAGGTAATTTACAAAAAATATTTTACAGGTTACATAGGCTATAACTTAAGTTTATTATGCATGAAATTTGTAGCACATCATACATTTTTTTACATCACAGATTTAATGTTAGAAAAATTCAGACATGATAAAGCTTAGATGTGACAAGAACAATGCAACAGACACAGTAAGAAAACAAATGGAAACAGCATATGAAAAATTAACCCCCAATTTAAAAGATTTCCTAGACTGGAACATAAAAAACATCCTCTAGACATGATTTGGTCAGTAACTGGGCAGAATTCATTCAATTTCAGTTAAAATGTCAGTTTCACTGCAGTTCAAATAAAGGGTAAATGAACGATCAATGTATAAAATGATAAAAACCACCTTAACATCATTTCTCTCCTAATACCACTAATTATATACTTGGAGCATGGAGACTAGAATATTGGTGTTAGGTTTATACAGGTATGTTTTCTTTCTAAATGCTGAAAACTAAAGACAGTTCACTAAGAAACAAGTGGCAATTTTCAAAATTGCTTAATACTTGTAATAACTACTGACCGAACTGGTATGATATCCAGATGAAATTCAGATACAGGATGCAAAGTTAAAATAATCACAAACCATTTAACATTTATGTATACTTTGCTATTTATAAAGTATACATAAACAATATGTATACAAAACAATATAGCACAAAAATATTCTAAAATTGAATTAGTTGCATATTTACACATATTTACACACATTTATTTTCATCCTCATTCATGGTTTTACATTCCTCATGAGTTCTTTTAAAGAAAAAATTAGTGGCAGTTGTAGCAAAAGACAGAAAATCAAAAGGAAAAATAATTTTTTGACCATAAAAGGAGCTAGAATAGTTTTAGATTTTCATAAAACCAATCTTCCCTCAGACACAAAGCTAAGTTTAGTACCTGAAATTCCAGTATCAGCTCATTACTATATTTTAGATATGCAGTAAAGTATGAATATCAGACTTATGTATGACTGTTCTTAATCTAAGGAAAAAGTACTTTAGGTTTTCAAAATGTTTAATGTCAGTAAGTAATCTATTTCAACTGATTTATATGTAATTAAATTTCAATGATTAGAAGTAAAAAAAACAAAATAGCTAAAAGGGGCTACCAAAAAAAATCTCTAAATATATCTAATATTCTAGCATCTATGAATTTAATGGGATATCTTTTCATACAATGAAAGTTACAGTAATCTCCATATAATTTTGAAGTTAGCGGTAAAAATCCCCCAAATCCCAAACACCCATTTATACATATTTAACCCCTTCATAAAGGTGTTATCTACTTCGCTACTACAGAGGCAATAACATGAGACTAACAAATCCTATTTTAGCAGTTTGATGAGAATCCAAAATCTAGTACTTAATAAAAATTATATAGTAATTATAAAAATAAGCACTAAAAATTAACTCTAAAACATGACTAAATATTTGAAAATAGTTTTAGCCACCCCAAAGATTGCCAAGAATTGAGCAACTGTCTTTCTCAAGATCCTGACTTCCCATTATAATAATCCAATTCTCACACATTTTACAAACAAATGAAATTAGACTAGTGATTAGCACTATTTGTAAAACAATACCAAATCATAAGCCCACATCCAATGAATACATATAGATAATATAAAGCATGCAACAGGGGCTGCTTTGAGAAAACATCTGAATTTTTTGGAAATAGAAATCACTCAAAAGATGTGTCAGAAAGGTAGAACAATTTAATTTACTTTTTACCTCACCATTACTTTGAATGGGCTACTAAAATACTTGAAAAAAATGCACTTTGGGGGGTCTTAACTGATTAGTAGGAACAGTAGAAAATTTGAGACAATTACTCTCTTAAATATTGAAAATAAGCAGTAATATAAAGTACATGATTTTCTAAGGTTATCTGATGATAGAAAAAAAGTTGGCTTAATTTCTTCAGTGTTAGAATAAATATAAATTTGGTCAGAAATTAAGACATCACTGACACTTCTTGGCATTCATCTTAAATAAAGTCAAGCAGTATTATTACAAAAAGGTAATATATTTCTATTTTGTTTACATACACCACAAAATAAGTTAAATGAAAAATAACTGGACACTGATTTTCATTATCCTTTATCAGCTTTTACATGGCTCAGAAGAATTTCTAAATTACATTCTCAAATACAATGTACTAAAAAGCATAAAGTGCTTAACAGAAAAAAAGAACTAGCCAAAATATGAATAATAATTGCTTGTAACAATCAGAGTGGTTATAAAAAAGACATTTAGAAATTATGGCTGGGCTAAGCTTTCCTCCCAAGAATGCAACCTTAAAAATCAAGGCAAAATGTACTGGACTACTTTTTGAAGACAAGGAATACTACTGGAAAAAGAAAAACCTTTTCATCAAGCTGCCATCATTCTGCTTATAGGACCGGTCTTTCATCAACCGGTATGTAAAACACATAGGTAAAAATAACTCAGGAAATTTTAAAGAGTCTAATATTTGGCAAATAATTGAAACTGTCTCATGGGCTTTCCATTACCATGTGTATTACTAGCAATAGCAGACTTCATCCAAATTAAGAGCCCACCTTCCTTCCCACATATTTTAGAGTAGCTGAGCAAGGAACGACCATGTTAGCTTACATGGTAAGTCCACTAATATTTCGTATTTGGGTATTGAGTATGAAACTTTTTGTCTTTAGTTCTGAAAGTCTCTAGTGGAAAGGCAATCTTTGGGAGAATGTGGTGATGGTTCTAGATGTGGTGATCTTTATTAAGCCCCAAAGCAAATTGTCAGTGCATCAGAGGTCATTAGGGTTTGTTTTTAAGCCTTTAAAATGGGCCAAAGTTCAGCTAGCATTTTAGAAGTCATTGGAATCATCTACTTTGTTAGTGAAGGAAATGTATTTTGGAGATTGTCAGAAACTGTCAGGATGTATCTCAGGCAACTTTTTATCAGTGTCACTGGAAAAATTATATATATGCACGAAATGATAGGAGGCCAATATAAGACATTTTTGGAATTGTTGGAAATACCTTATTTATATAAAATAAACTAACCCAATTTCTTATCCCTTATTTACAAAATCAGGCTCCCATTTTTTTGTTAATTTTACTTTTTTTTTTTTTGGTACCGGGGATCGAACTCGGGTCCTTCCACTTGCAAGCTAGATCCCCGGCCCTTTTTTTTAATTTTAAAAAGTCCACATTCAGAAAGTTTTTATGAACACAGGATGGCCTTCACTTTTAAGAGGCAGTTCTAGAAATGCACTATCCAAAACAGCAGCCATTACTTGTACGTGGCTGAGCATTTCAAATGTGACCAGTCCAAATTGAGATATACTGTAAATGTAAAATATAAACTAGTTTTGAAGACTAAGGTTTAAAAACAAAGGTAAAATACCTCCCAAATAATTTTTTGTGTTGATTACAAGTTTAAATAACATACTGGATACGTTGAATTAAAATATATAATAAAAACAATCTTCACCTGCTTGTTACTTTTTTAATACATTTACTAGTTAATATAAAATTTACTAGAAAATGTAAAATTTACATATCATTTCTGCTAAGATGGCGCTGCTTAAGAACATAGACCAGTGATGGTGAATCTGTTAGAGCTTTCAATGATATAAGCAGTCCACTTTGGCACCCATGCCATAGGTTTGCCACCACTGATAGAGACCTTTGAGACATGCTGACTGACTTTAGAACCAAACCTATTTAATCACAGTACTATTTGAGGGAATTTCTTGAGATCAAAATTTAAAAAAGTTAGAATCCTGGCCTTCACAATTCTACATCCTTACAAATTAATCCAATAATTTTATATTATGTATAGAAAAAGCTAAGAGCAATAGTGGGGAGATGGTTGTTCACTTTTACATGCATTTCAGCAGGTAATTTCAGTTTCAAAGGCTAAAACATGAATCACAGATCCATATTAACCAAAGTATAGTGATCAAATTAATTTACATTCTTTGTTCTATTTTTCTTAAAGACTGCCCTAAACCTACTGGTAACATATAAAGTTTGCCACAGATATAAAAAACTTGTAGTTACTATCATTCAAAATTCTTACCTGTACAACTACCCAAATCAGAAACATTTAAAATAAAATGAACCAATAGTATTGCAGCTGCAATAGCCAGTCACTGCCATAGAAATCTTAACGCAAGATATGTGAAGTCACTGTAGGCTTATAAAATAGCTACTGGGTAACCTGAATACAAAGTTCCAAGTAGTATAAATTATAAAACATTACTGTTATGACGTTTTCCCCTTAAATATTCTATCCTATTATTTATAGGTTTATGTCTAGGTAAAGCAAACTGAATTTTAAACACTTGGCCACAAAACTAGAAAATTACACAGAGAAATGTCCACCTCTTGATATAGTCCACTGAAAACTGCTCATTACTGAGCAATACTGGGGCCTACATGTGATTAATACTTCCTTTGAAACGTAAACAATTTTTAAGCTCTTCAAAGTACATCTACATTTACTGGTAATTTATAGAGGTGAGTTTCTTCCCAAGTCGATTTACTTCCTAAACCATAAGCAACAGACTTGAACAACTTCACTAACTACTGGACCTCCAAAATGTTACTGTCAATGTAAAAACCTGAACATTTTTATAACATTATAAAAGATGAATTCAGAATAGAGAACAAATTTCAAGGCAAAAGCATTTACAAATTTTGGAACTATAATGCTTTTATTACCAGAATATCTGAAACACTGATCCTTTTGTAACTGTGTAATACCGCCTCAGATTCCCACAAAATTTCAAAACATCCATTTAGAACAAAGGTGATTCTGTTGTTGCTGTTCATAATAGAACAACATCCTTAGCCTTCATAGTTCAGATCTAACTAACAAGGAGCAATGTGTAAGTTTAGACCTGAGATAAATGTCAATTCACACAAACCATATTCCATTTGAGGCCCAAAGACCTCATTATAACAAACTCCAGAATAATTACTGCAATTTAAAAATATTAACCTCTTAACACATGTTGATCAACTCATAAAATACAGAAAGTGTAGTGTTAACAAATATGTGCATTTTCCAGAGATTTTAAAATTCAGGCTAATATTTATGAACAGTATTTCAGTTAAATTATATTCAATTAAGTTATGGCATTTGAGGAAAGTTATACTTCTGGGGAAAGATCATATAAACATGCTTTTCTGAGTGGGTATGTTAGAAAAACCACAATTAACTCCTTAACATTTCTAAAATCACATAAAATGATTATTTTTGATTGCCATTACAATAAATTTTGATAGAGTATATTACTCTCTGCTCACAAGTAACGAAAACACACATAAAACAGACTTGTAGCAAATACTCAGAATCAATTATTTTTCATATGTAAAACATTTCTCGGACTTTAAAGATTTGTGATTGAGCATACAGTACTGCAATGCTGGCTACATAAAATAAATAGAAAATCTTTTTGAGAGAAAGCTCAATAATCAGAGGCTAGACTACATTTTAAGATTGAACACTGGCTATATACAAAAGGAAAAACATTTCAATGAGAAATACTTCATGTTACAGAGCTCTCATTTTTAGTGACAATATTCATGAGCTTACCATCCTGACATTTGAAAACAAGAATGCTACTTTTTTATCCTTTGGTTCCCAGTGATAAACAATGCAGTGATAAATGTCTCCAGTTTTAGCTCCTTTTATGACATTTATTAGCAGAGAAATTTCTGATGCTTTAGCTGAAATTTGGCAGCCCAAGAAGAGCACCAACTGCTCCAAAGTACCCCTGTGATTTAAAAAAAATTATTAGTACAGTATAGCTTTTAAATAAGCATACAATGTTAACCACTTACTAAGAACACTATTTATGTACCGTATCCGTATTTAATAACGTTTTCTTGTATAGTCTCATATTTCTATACTCTATTATGAACATTTTTCTTATACCGCACTCTCAATGTACACACGCACCTTGAAATAGACTATTGTAGCTACTACATCCTCTCCCCTCAAAAAAAAAAAAAAGAATTTCAAGGTAAAAATTTACTTAACTCAAAACATTATATGGACTGATAATTGCTCAGATTAGAATTTAACTTGGATGTAGTTGAGGGGGAAAAGAAAATCTTAAATATAATTCCAAATGGTAGGGATAGGGCTGTGCTAAGAAGATGAAGAAAAATTTTGGCTACTTATTTTTGTATTGTTCATATTTAGTATTTGTAAATGGGAGAGGGCAAAGAAACAATTTAACAACACCCATTAAGTCTAAAAACAAGCACACTAGGTACCTGAAAAGCTCACACTGCTCTCTTGGTCAGAAGGGCTGTAAAATTCTTACTGCGGTGCCTACCAAGTTATAGTAACCCTTTCTCCCCAGCTGAAACTGAAATAAAGGAACAATATTCTACTTAAGAAAATAATTTGTAGCTTTATACTTTTAAGGTAGGAAGCGAGACATAAAATCTGCATCTAAAAGCACGCTATTAAATAATTCATAAAACATTTATCATACCTCATGTTCTAGAAACAATGCTTTCAGCTGACCTTTTGACCAATAATCCAGTGCATATGCCAAAAGTTTCATTGAAAGAGTATTTACACGTAAAAAGTTTCCAACAAAGACAACTCTGTTTATTTTCTAAAAGAAAAGAACCAAGACACTGACTTGTAGAAAAATTACTAAATCGATTTTACAATACAAAAGATTTAAAAACTACCTAAAAATGTAGGGCTAGATATATAGCTCAGTGATAATGCAGAATTCCCACTACCACCACCACAAAAAGAATAAAAAGAAAAATCAGCATTGGACAGGTCACTATACATTTGTCAAAACCCACAGCACGTACAGTAATAAGAGTGAACCCTAACGTAAACTATTGCCTCTGTGTATGGACTTTTGTGATGATGATATGAAAACACAGGTTCACAGACTCTAAAACAACTGTATTACTCTTTGGGGGGATGCTGATAGTAAGGGAGTATGTGGAAGGTGGGTACACCTGGGAACTCTATACTTGGTTTTACTGTGGTATACATTTTAAAAAACTGTTCTAAAAAATAAAGTCTACTTTGAAAAGTTCTGGAAAGACCCTAGCAAATGATTAAAGGTGATACCTGTTTTTGAAAATGGAGAATAAATAATCCATCAAAGTTAAAATTGGAGATACCTTACTGATGAGATTAAAGGAATCAAATGAAGAAAAGTAATTTTTTTTTTCTGATGCTGGGGAGTGAACCCAGGACCTCATACCTATTAAGTATAGGCTCTACACTGACCTATATCCCCAGCCTCAAATATTTTCAAAAACATTTAAGATAAACTGTAAATATCCCCAGTATGTTGCAAAGCATGTTCAACAATGACATGCAAGGTGGACTCCCCAGAGTAGGACAGTAACGATGACTAGAGTGCTGCATATGCATCAACTCTATTTACTCTCCCCATAGCATGATCCATTGGGTCATTCACCTTCTAAGATTCCATAGACTACTTTGGTTTCTTAGGTGTCCTTATAATTGGGAAATCTTAGATGAGGGAACCAATTAAGAAAATCTATTCCTATTCTCACAATATATTGACTTTCCAGACAGGGTCTCGCTTTGTAGTTCAGGCTGGCATTGAGCTCACTGTATAGCCCAGGCTGGCCCTGAACTCACAGCAATCCTACCTTTGCCTCCAGAGTAATATGTTGACTTCTGAGTACAAATCGTTGTATCTGAATTTGGATAATATAAACCATGGCCTTACTTACTGATAATTCAACTGGCCAGTGAAAATTTAGACCTACAGAGCTCAGAACCAAAGTCCCAGATGACTGTCTGACCTCAAAGTCAATTATTCCCCAAGTCTCATTAATCAACTCACCACCTATAATTAAGAAATTTAAAAGGTAAGATTCTGGATTTCAACACAGAATAATCCAATGACTTTGCATAGTGGATCTCTGTGCTTGAGCCTCTTCCCAAATATCTGCATGCATGGCTTCTTTCTATCTCCAAATCTCTAAAGATCATGGTCACACTTCTTATTGTTTTTCTATTTTTATTTCCTTTTGATTTGAAAACTTCAGATGATTTTTAATGAACCATTTAAGACCCAATTATTGACATGATGCTCTATCACATTCAAATACTTTAATATGTAATTCATGCAAGAGGATGTTCTATAAACAGGTGCCACATTTTCAATAAAACCTTCCATTAACAACTCCATTACTTCAGATTTATTCTCTGCTACCCTCTGCCCTAGCCCCAATTCTATCTGATTTGATTTTCTTTTTTGCATTTACTATCCAATACATACTACATGATTTACTCTATCAGTAGAACAATGTAAATTCCAGTCAGGAATCTGTTTTCTTTACTAATATATCATATCCCAAAAGCCTAGAACCATGCCAAGCATACAGTATCCTACAAATATTCACTGTGATAATGAGTGAATGAACAAATGAATTGTTAATTCAACAAGCACTTCCCAGTCCATTTGAAGTATTTCATATTTATAAAAATTAAATGGGCAAAAATGTAGGTGGAATTACATATATTATTTCCCAAACTATATGGTTAATCTAACAGTGTATGCTTTTTAAACTTTTCTTAAGAGTAAGCAGTAGATGCCATTCAAATAAGTGAAGAATAAGTCTCAATGCCTTCATAGCCCTGTACAATGCTGCTTGATCCATATGCAACAAGGCAGCACTGTAAAGAAGCCGAGGGCAGTAAGAAAACTTGCAAGCATTTTACTAATCAAATGCTACCAAGAGTAAAAAGTAAAAATTAAAATAAAATGAAAAGCTTTCAAAATTACTCAGCTCAAAATGTCTTATGCTTAGAATATTTTTTCCACACTGAGGAGATTTAGGTTGTGTATTTACAAAACATTTCTGGATAAATATAATTATGTATTTGTCCTATTTAAATTTAATTATCTGCTACCTTCTTGAAAGTTAATAAAGCAAGTGGGTATACAACATATATTTAATCAGTTTTGGGACTTAACAGAATAGATTTCAATCTTAGCGGCCACTTTAAGGAAAACAAAGAAATCCTGTCAGATGTACAAAAATCTCCAATTCACTTTCTTCATAAAAGTTTTGTTTTTTACCTCATTTACAGCACACATTCGTGCCACAGAACCAATGTTGTTGGTGATAGTAACTAAAGTAGCTCTTGCCAGATCTTCTTTACTAACAGATTCTCGCTTCTCTTTATAAATCATATTCCCAAAACTGCAGAGAAATAAAAAACAAAAAAAATTGATGGGTAATGAGCAACATTTCATACACTGGCATATATATTTATAATCTAGGTATTTTTATAAAGTTAGGACCAAGAGTAAAAACACAGGAGTAAAATCAAAACAAATTAACAAAAATCCATACAAGGATAAAATAGTACCTCTTAATGAATCAAGGTAAAAATTCTCAAAGAAAAGCATACAGTTGTTCCCAGGAAACAGATTCTTACAATATTTACATTTTAAAAATGATACGAAAATGATGAAATTAAATGGCTATGATTTTAGGAAGCCAAGAAAATACAGGAGGGTACATTTTGACTTCTTTCTTAAAAGTCAAAATGTTTTCAAAGGTATCTTAATGTCAGATTCCTTTTCATTCAATTACAAAGAACATTTATGACTTAGCAAGTGTTGTGTTAGGAACAAAGCCCCTCAACAGTTTAAGTGTAATACAGCGCTGTCCAGTAGAATATGAGCCACAGAAATTTCATGGTTTCTAATAATCATATTTAAAAGAGTAAAATAAATAGGTGAAGTCAGTTTGAATTGTATATTTTATTTAAGACATGTACACATGTGGCTCAAGGTTACTGTACGGACAGTGCAGGCCTAGGTGGAGAAGGAGAAAGAGCAGTAGAAGCCCTAAGTGTAACAGGAAAATACAAACCAAACCACAGGCTACCTTGGAAACAAAGGAAAAAAGATCCTTTGTCACTGTGGCAAGAGGAAACAGCTGAGAGGGTATGAAGAAAAGTTTTCCAAAGTAACAGAAAAAGTTGACCGAGAGAGAGAGAAAGAGAAAATCCTAGGCAGAATTAAAGGTTAAAGGCACAAAGAAATGAAAACTGAAAACATCTATGAAATAAAAAGTGACATCTAATGGTAAGAATGAAGGGCCCCTGTCAGGAAGAAGCAAGGAATGCAGATAGTTTAGGCTAAGATCACTACTACAAAGCACTGGCTATCTTGATAAAGAAGTTGGCAGTGTATAAACAACAACCGGTTAGAAAGTATAATGGGAAATGAGAATGATAGATAATAGAACAATGACAAAGAAAAAAAAAATTTAAAAAGAGCTGTATAAATATATATGAAGTCTTCTAAAATATCTGAAAGACAAAGTAGCCATATAAAAGCCATTATAACATCAATGGCGAGACTCAACATCACAAAAACGTTATTTTCCTTAAGAAATTACACAAGCTTAATACATTTATTTGTACTAGAAAAAGATGATTTCCACTTTCATATGGGAATCAGCTAAGCAATGGGGTGCAGCCTTTCTAGATATTAAGCAAACCTTTATGCTTCTACAAATCTTAGAGTGCTGATATATCAACACAGTAATGAAAAGCCCATGTATGATAAAGAAGTAATTGCAAATCAGTAGAATATGTAAATAAAGACTATTAATACAGTAATAAGACCTTCAGAAAGAAAAGTGAAAAACTAAAACTGGATCTACACTTTACACAAATTCCAAGATAAATTATAAAACAAAAATTTATATTAAATCAAATATTAAAATATAAAAGTAATAGCACTAAAGTAACAGAAAAGGTTCATTCCTTTATATACTTGGAATGTGGAAGGCTTACTATGAATCAATATCCAGAAGCCATAAAAGAAAACACTGATAAATTCAACTGTGTAACAATCCAACAGAAAAAGAGAACATGAACAATCACAAAGAAGAACATACGTAAGGAGAGAAATGCAAACTAAAATTACACAAAGATGCCACTTTCTCTATTAAATTAGCAAAAATTCCAAAGTCTGACTGACGGCATACTTCTAGTGAGGCGGTAAGGAAACAGGCATTTTCATCTACTGCTGGTAGGGTGAAAGCTAGAGCACATGTAACATTTACAACTCCGCGAATTTATCCTACAGATAAACCTATACATGAACAAAGTAAGGCTAAGACCACAGCATGGAAAGATTTCTAGTATATATGGCTACTTTAGAGTATATATAGTGTGCCATATAATGTTATAAAATATAAAATTATGCCATAAAATGCTACAACCTTTTGTACAATAGGACAGTAAGAATATGCATTTGTATTTGGTTAGAGTAATAGGGAAAGATATTTCAGAATGAAAAGTGGTTTCATTCTTTTTTGAGCAAGTGTCCTGCTACACAGTCTAGACTAGCACTGAACTCATTTGTCCAGGTTGGCCTCAAACTTGAGATCCTCCTGCCTCAGCCTCCCAGGTGCTGGGATGACACATGTGTGCCACCACGGCTGGTTCTAAAAGTGGTTTCTTACAGGGTAAACCTCTATGTATGTATACTTTTTAAACTATATCAATGTTAAAATTTGATTCCTATAAAGGGTAAGGGAAAGCAGTCTTAGAACTCCCTAATAAACTGCTTTGCAGAAATTAAACAATCTGAATAACACAAATGTTGAACTTACCTAGATGCTACAGCCCAACCTGGCAGACCAAATCTTTCATAGTCTCCTCCATAAATATCTCGGACCAGCTTGTCAGCTTGGGTGCTATCACCTTTGGATGCCATTTCAAGAGCTTCTTCAAAACTTTCACAGCCAGTCAATAAACTGCATAAGCCCAGAAAGGTACCCCCTCCAAGGCTAAAAAAAAAAATAAAGAAAATTTGCAAAGTTGCATTCATACACTGTATTTTTTTCCTCCAAAGTGAAAAGGTGCAGTGTTCATTTACTGAATAAACACAGAGAAAGAACACATTACTAACACTAAATGCTAGTGAAAGAAGGCAATAAAAACTGTTTAGTGAAAACAAACCTGTACAACCAAATAAATCAAGCAAGGGAATAACCACTTGGCACCCCATACTTTTTTGGTACCGGGATTGAACTCAGGTCCTTGCGCTTGCACAGCAGGCGGCAAAACCACTGAGCTAAATCCCCGGCCCTAGGGCACCCCATACTTTACACTTTGTAGTTGCTAAAAATGTATTTTTGTGTGTGCATTAAAAAAGAGTATTAGAGGGCCGGGGATTTAGCTCAGCAGTTTCACCGCCTGCCACACAAGCACAAGGACCCGAGTTCGATCTCCCGTACCAAAAAAAGAAAAAAAAGAGTGTTAGAGCTGGGTGTGCTGATGCACGCCTGCAATCCCAGCACTCGGGAGGCTGAGGCAGGAGGATTGATGGGAGTTCAAGGCCAGCCTGGGCTACAGAATAAGTTCAAGGCCAGCCTGAACTACATAGAGAGACCCTGACTCAGAAAAGAAAAAAAATGAAAAATTAAACACTGTCATTTCTAGTAAATGCTCTTTTATCAAACTCTGGAAAAAAATATTATTAGAATCATTCCAGATAAACATTTACTCATTACTGTGAAAACTTGGATGCCAACTGATAAACATTAACAATAAATATTTAAGAATTTGTGTTCTAATTAATCTTTACATATTTATCTTACAAAAAGATTGCCTGCAACATTTAAACTCATACATCTAGTTTTTTTGCTGTTGCTGTTGTATAAATATAAGCTGTTTTCCATGTAAAACTAGCATCAATATATTGATTTCATGTCAGTGTTGCAGAGCAGTAGAAGCACTTGTCTAGAATGGAAGGACCTGGGTTTAACCCCCAGTACTCACCCCAATCATTCAGTATTTCAAAACTTGCATGTATAAAACATTGTGAATGTTTAAAAAAAAGGTTACTACCTTGTCCCAGTCACTCGCTTATAGTTGTCTTTGGAATGGACTGCTAAAATACTGACACCTGAGCCAATGTTCACTACCAGCAGTGGATAGGGATCATCTAGGTTAAAAGGCATCTTTTGGCATCGCTCAGGTTCTGAGGCATTAGCAAAATAATAGCACTCTGCTTGGCCATTGAAACTGACAGAATCTATATACAGCAAGCCCTTTACAAGGCAGTCAAGTTCATCCAGTTTGTGCAGGTGGAGGTTTCCAATCTAAAAAAATAAAAAGTGAAAAGTTTAAGTGGAAGGCAGCATTCAAAATACTTGACTCAACTATATTGCATAATTTCCACATACTTAACATGATCTGAGCCTACATAAGCACAAAGCATTTTATCTATGTGTATAAACATATCTTCACATGGTTCTAACATACTGAATTTGCTAGGAATTCAAGCACTATACAAACACAGGAATATTATGCTTTTACTGTCTGGAGTTTTACTAAGAATTGATCAGCATCTTGGGAAATAATGTCACCCACAATATCACAGCTTATAGATTCTGATTCTAGCCTGCCTCAAAAAGAGAAGGTACTGCGTTCAATTCCCAGTACCCAAAGAAACAAAAAACTTCCAGATTCTGACTAATAAAATATACTGTGTCAATCTGTCATTTGTAGCTTTTGCATTCACGAATCTTTATGCAGGTGCAAACATTTAATGATTTCATTATGTCCTCTGGTATGATTATACCAGCTAATATTGTTATGTAAAGACCTTAATTTCTTGTTTTTGTTATCACATTTGGGTACCTGTTTGAAATTATTAAATTCATTTCAAGTTAGGTAAGAGTATATTGTGCTATGCTGTACTTTCACTTAGAATTCACAATCTGTGTGGTCTAGAATAACCATACTCTTTGAGGACTTTGTCTTTTTAGTTGTATTCTTCCAATACTGAGCACAAAACTTGATACATACAAAATGCTCAAATATTTGTCCAATAAATGACAATATTAACAAAACAAATTTATAAAACTTCATTTAAAAAGTTACATATTTTTAAAAATTAGAACATCAGCCAGGTAGGGTTTCACAAGCCTATTAACCCAGTGCTCTGGAAGGCTGAGGCAGGAGGAACACAAGTCAATCCAATCCAGGCAATGTGGCGAGACCCTTTCTCAAAGAACTTGGGGGAAAGCTCAGTGTGAAAGGCCTGGGTTCAATAACCAGTGCCATACATACACACATACACATACACACACACACACACACACACACACACACACACACACACACACACAAAGCAAACAATAAAACCCTCCATATCTGGATATCAGTACTTCAATGGCCAGGTGAAAGCTGGCTGCAAGGACATTGCTTTTAGCAAGAATACTGGCAAACAATAAATACTGCATATCCAGACAAACTGACTGCAAATTCATGAAATTTATTTTTATAATTACTCATTGAGTATTTATCAGATTTATCCATCAATAGAAAAAAATTTAATACTTTAGATCAAACTACCCCAGATTGTAAGGAGCTTGTTTATATGTGCCATAAGTGAATAATATTCTATGAACAAAATTTTCAATGGCTGAAAAATTAAATAGTTCACATCTACATTTTCAAAGAAAACAAATTTCAGCAGCCCCGAATACTGGCTTTGAAATTTAGTGGAAAATCCTGACAGAAGCTTTGCAAACTCCTAAAGGCACATAACAAAAATCAATACAGTGAAGTCCCTGACCTATGAACACCACGCCTGTGAACTTTCACAGTACAGTACGATAGCGGATAGTAGCACAGTGCTCAGTCAGAGCCCAGGATGTCTGGAGGCAAGAGGAAAAGCAGTGGTGATGTGGAAGGGACTGCTAGGAAGCACAAAGCAACACACACTGTGTATGCGTGTCAAAGGTGTACGGACTCACTGTTTGACTTACAAGTGAATTCAACTTACCAGTGTTCTCTCAGAACACAACTTGTCTCTAAGTTGGGGATCTACAAATGACTCCATGAGAGGAACACAGCAAGTTTAACTGTAGAAACCCCAAGAAAAAAGCTAACATTTTTTATTCACGTGTCTATTTATCAACCAGAGGATTAGACAGAGATAGCCCTGGGAGAAATGACATGAATTACTAAAAAAACCCCACACATATGTAGGGCGCTAATGATGACAGAATTCAAACCTTGTATATCTGACTGTACACTGTCAAATTCATTGAAGTTTCCCTTGCGTATCTCTAGGTTTAGCCTCCCAAGTAGTTCAGATGATAGATGTGTGCCACCACACCTGGCTTTAAGTTCCCCCTTTAGCACAGTCCTAAACCTAGTTTTTACCAAACATTATGTGCAATAGCATGCCTAAATCTAGGCAATTTAACATGTTCCCGCCAGCTTGAACCACGAGTGGTATAGTAACGCATGAGACAGTCTCAAATGTACCACTGGGTGGATCAAACTGCCTGGCAGCAAGACAGGCCTATCATGAACACGTTAATCATCCCATAAAGGTGTTTAAAATGTCCCAAATGAAAGGCTAGTCATGAATACATCCTTCCTCTGTCTCCTTAGGGGAACTAACCTAAGGAATATTCTAAATGGAAACACAGCCTCATATTTAAAACTGAACACAAGGATTATCAATTTTTGGCTCAAGTAACAAATACTTACTGTACGAAAATCTTTTTCAAACTTGTAAGCACCACCTCCTGTAGCACATAGCACCGTGTGTAATGTTGAAAAGTTCTTATCTCTTCCCATTTGGATAAAAGTAGGCAGGTCCTGGGTTGGAAATCTGATAAAGTGCAAGTTCCCTCTTCGCCCAAAAAGCGTTAAATCCTTCAGTTCAAGGTGTACATCCCGAATGCCAGTGGATCCATATGCCACATTAGAAGTCAAATATTTCCGAATACTTTTTAGGCTCTCAACTTCCTCTTGTTCTTCCTCTGCTGTGATATCGATAGGTTCAAAGTATGAGAGCTTTACTAGAGTTCCCCCAATGTCCATGCCAAACCAAGGGAAAGCTGTGAATTAAAAAAAATAATAATAATAATAAAAGCTATATGTACAGATTTTAGAAATATAAACTGAGAACAAGCAGTTAATTTTCCGCAAACTCATTTATCCTGAATTATGCATTTAGTCAATAATCAGGTAAGATGTATCTTCTATGTGTATCTCACCTTTCTCCTTCAATTTTATTTGTATGTTTCCAAGAACTTATAACAGGATACTCAGAGATGGTCCACAGCCTTTTAATTCCTGGTCTAATAGGTATTCCTTTTCTTTATTTAATACTTAACCTCATGCCATACAAAATCTGAAGAATCTGAATTTTGTTTCAATAAATAGGTTATTACTTAGGGCTTGAACATCTTTCTGCTTCTATAAAGGTTTTAATATAATAAAATTGGCCTATAATCACCCACAGGAAAAGTAGCTCCTTAAAAGGAAATTTATTTTCTACTTATTTTTTACTCATTAAGCAAAGTTATTTTCTTTGGTAAATGTGGTTAACACTGCTGAAAGTAAGTCATACTCTGGAATAAGCACATTTAGGCCGGCATTATCATTCAGGTTTGGGACTTGGGGTCCTCTTACTAACTGGGCTATATGACTCTAGAAGAGCCATTAATCTCTCAGTATACTACTTTCCTCAATTCTCTTCAGTAAATCAGATATGTAAAATAAGATAAAATTCCAGCCCCCAAGGAGAGCTCAATTTAGCAGGGAATACCAATATAAATACACAAGAATTAGGTAAAATAAAATTATATGTGCAGTACACACCAATATAAGGAATGCTAAATTTTATGCCTGTTTAAACGTGGGGAATACTAAACAACAACAACAAACCTATACATAGACAGAGGCATAAATCAATACAACTAGAGACCTAAGAAAAAGACTGAAGCTGAGAAAATAGGAATCAAATCTCAAAGGGTCCTGTACACTAGGCAAAGGACCTTAGATTGCAATTTGTAGGCAATTGAGGACACTACTATTGACAAGAAAGCTAAGCAGTCTACTTGCAAATTAAAATGCTTCTTTAGTGGCATGGTGCAGGATACACAAGTGTTGAAGATGTACCTACAGAATAAGGCCACGGTACCCTAAATCCAGATCAAAATCGCCTAGTTATTAGTTTAAAAATACAGATTTCTGAACCCACATTCCAGAGGCAGTGGCCAATGATATTTAAGAGATCTGGGGCTCTTACTAAATTTACACATACACACCCACACACCTATACCCACAAAGACTATATATGAGATTCTACCATAATAAGATATAAATGGCCACTTGAGAAACACTGGTTTTGGCAAACTGATTCCTTCATGCTATTCTACAATGTGATTTCTTGTTATCAGTCATAATTTTTATACAGATGCAATGCAGTATTTTATTGTTCCCAACGGTGGGAGAAACGTCAGTATTTCAGTATCATGAATTGTAAAATTTTAATTCTTAAAATTTGTTTAAAGCACAACTGATTCTGTTTCAATGAAATTATAGCTGACAATTACTGAGTACTCGGTATGGGTCATAAATGTTCATTTACCTCAATATCCCAATATGAATTATTAAGATATGAGAGATTACGAACTTACGTTAAGGTCAAACTGTCGGTAGGTGACTGAACTGAGACAGCATTCCACTCTAGGAAGTCTATTTCTATTCTGTGGTATTTTAATTTCTAATAGTGGCTCAAAAGTAATTTAATATTTAAAATACATGTATTACAAAATGTTTGGCAAGAAAACACATTTTTTATGCACAAGTTATCAAAGAAAATTCTACAATTCTATTTGTTTTTAAAATACTCATTTTACATAGCTGGGCATGGTGGCACAAGCCTGTTTTTCCAACACTGAGAAAGCTGAGGCAGGAGGTTGGCCATTCGGCCAAGACAGGCTGGAGTATACATAGCAAGAACCTGGCCCAAAAAAACCAAAATTAAAAAATTTCTTTAAATATCCATTTTACTTGATACATGTGTACTATTAGAACACTAAAAAAATGATTCAATGAGAGAATTCTATAGACATTTCTCTACAGTAGAATCTATACATTTACTAAAATTACTGTGATTTTGAATGTGAGGAATTCTATTATGTTTCAAATCCAAATTGCCATCTCAAGCTATATTAAAAATAATTTTAAAAACCAAAAGATTCTTAAACAACAAAATGATTTTAGGCTGTAATTTGGTAAGCATGGGGCTCTAAGATTCTAAACAAGTACTATGCTTTTACAAGCATATGAGAGAGGGGATGTGTAAGAGGTGGGATGTACCATGTACAGGTGCAAATTCTCTACAAAGAGTGTTATTATGTATCTCTAAAATGTACCAATAGATATTTTGTTATGTAAAAAATAAATTTTGAAAAAAAATTAGAAGCTGAGAACAAACCCAAGGCCTTGGCCATGTTTAGGTAAGGGCTCTACTACTGAGCTCTATCTCAGGCCAAGGCCATCTTAAATAAAATACAATCTCTAAAGGAATAGCAGACCATTTATAGAAACTATAAATACATCCCTAGGTAAAAAGAAATATGCTGTCTTGCAAGCGCAAGGTCCTAAGTACAATCCCTGGTACCAGGAAAAAAAAAAATGCTGTCATTTATCATTAAGTTTTGCTTTCAGTTTATTCACAAAATCTAGTTTCTGGGACAGGGTCTCACTATGTAGTTCAGGCTGGCCTTGATCTTGCAGAGATCCTTCTGCCTCAGCTTCCTGAGTGCTGGGATTATAGGGCTGTGCCACCACGTTCAATTAAAATTGTGTTTTTTGAGAATACTCATTTTCACACCTTCACTATTATGATTCCTGAGTATAGATTTGGGTGTTTTCTTTTAATAAATTACTTCTAAGGGGAGGTATATTAGAAACTACTTCCTTTAAATGTACCTTATTACCTATTGGAAGTGATAGTAATTCTAAACTAAATTTATAAACAGGCCGATCAAATTATGGAGGACACCAAAAAAAAAAAAATTATAAAGAAGCAGAGTACACATACATGTTACGTAATTCTCTGTGCCTAACAAAAATTTCCAGGACCTTACTACTTGGGTTAGCAAAGCACTGACTCAAAATCTACATTACACATTTAGATATACAGGGGACCTTGACTTGTGAACTCCATCCATTCCTGAGGGCTGGTTGTAACAAGTCAATACAGCTGAGATCTGAATGTTTACTGGGTATATGCTATAGATAACAAGAGACGGATGAATCTTCCATTAACCTAATTTACTCAAGTTGTTTGGATGTCAGGCTGGTCGTAATTTGAGGGTCCTTAGCATCTTTCACTATAACCTTGTTGACCCAGTTATATGACATACAGGTAAATAAAACACCAGCTGAAAAAACATACCTTAAATCATGTCAGCTGAAGTACAGAGGAATACTACTGATTCTCCTTTGCCTGGCATTGAAATAACAGAAAACCTCAAATGCTTACCTAGTTACACAATGTTCATGGCAAAATAAATTCCTCGCAAAATTTTCTGGCTAATACAAGTATTTGGCTTATAACCTGATAATACATTGGTGATGTACCTAAAAGTAATAACACTCAAGTGATTAATGTAAGAAAATGTATGGAGCCAAATCACTTTTTGCTGTTGTTGTGTTTTTGGTTTTTTTTTGGTACCGGGGATCGAACTCTGGTCCTTCTGCTTGCAAGGCAGGTGGCAGAACCACTGAGCTAACTCCCCGGCCCTGTTGTTGTTTTTTCCATTTTTTTGAGACAAGTCTCACTATGTGGTTCAGGCTGGCCTGGAACTTGTAAGATCCCCCTCCTCAGCTTCTTGAGTGCTGAGATTTACAGGTGTGCCCCACCAAGCCTAGCTAGCCAAATCACTTGTTTAGCCAATATGATATATAGCTTCCTTTAGCATTGCTGTAAGTTAATGCCACATGCACACAAAGTAGAGCCTTACCAAGTCAATAAATAATAACTATTACAAAAACCACAACATACTCAAGTATGTATTAAAAAATAGAAAAAAAAAATCCCGTGTTTTAAAAAAATTACAATTTCAGTTATAAGTGTATCTAGGACAGTTTAGGGCGGAAATACCTTTTCCACACATACAGAAACAAGATGCTCTTTATTTTTTTACTATAAAGATTTTAGTACTTTTACCCAGAAAAAGCTGTAAATGTTATTTTAGACTTCTAAATCAAATTCCCTAAGCAGTTTTTTAGCATGACCCTTTTTAGGATTAAAGAAGGATTAAAGGTTTAATGTTCAATGTAGTAATAAACATAGTTAAAAAAAAAAAAAAGCATTCTTTACAAATGGGGTGTGGTGGCACACCTTTAATTCCAGCACTTGGGAAGCTAAGGCTGGAGGATGGAGAGTTTGAGGCCAGTCTGGGCTACACAGTGACTTCAAAGCCTGCCTAAACTACACAGGGTGAGACCCTGTCTCAAAAAAAGGGGATGCTCTGATTTCCCAACCCGGTTTATTTTATAAACTTGTTATGACAGTCATTATAAATTTTAAAATAAATTTGAAGACGGTATTCCTACTTGATTATTAGTTTGCCCAAATCCAAGTAATCAATAACTATCAGAATGTAAAAAAAAAAAAACCACCTTGAGTCAGAACACGAATTTATGATAAACTTTTCAGGAAATGCAAATTTTAAGATAAACAGAAAATGTGTGTCTTGAGGGCAGATGTCTAAGTATTCCACATTACTGCATCTCTTCAAGATGTATTAGTTTAATTCAGCAAGCGTAAATTAGAAGTCCTTCTACATTGTTATTTAAACTATTCCCATCACTATTTTATAGGCTCAAACCTGGCCTGGTGGCGCTTGCCTGTAATCACAGCACTCAGGAGGCTGAGGCAGGAGGATTGCCACAAATTTAAGGCCAGTCTGAACTACACAGCTAGACCTTGTCTTTAAAAAAAACCCCACAAAAACCAAAAACTGTTTTATAGACTCCGAAATACCAGAAGAATGCTGCAGCTGTAACAAGAAATCGCCAAGAAAATTTTGATTAGCAGACACAACTACCAGATAAGAAAAGTTTGTGTTTCTCAAGTATTTTGACTGTGCCCTACAGGTGACTTTAAACCAGCTGATTTAGGATTGTGAACTTAGCATACAACTGGTAGGGGGGACCTTGGAAAAAAATTACCCTGAGCCTAAGTTCAAAGTTCTTCTTAGTAAAGACCAAAGTATCACACATTTAAATAAATAATTTTCAGAGTTCTTAGGTTGCTTCTCCAGTGAGGTTTACAAGATCCCTGGTGGGCTGAAAGGCAGGGAAGGCGTTAGTATCATTTAAAGATGCACATTTTTCAGGCCCAGCCTGGTGGCACACGCCTGTCATCTCAGCACTTGGGAGGCTGAGGTAGGAGAATCCCTGCGAGTTCAAGGCCACCCTGAACTACATAGTGAGACCTTGTCTCATCTCCCCCCTATTCTTCCAAAACCCTCAGAAGATACACTATCAATTTAAAAAACTTTCTGGACAACAGAAACACAAAGGAAAAGATGCAGATTTTTCAGAACGGCGGGGAGGAGCCCATGAAACACCGAAAAACTGTAAAATATCAGTATATTTCTACGTTTTGAGAATAGATCTTCATATTCCTAGTGGTCCCAGGAGAGACTTTAAGTGTGACAATTACAACGAATGAACAATGAAATAAACCAATTACAGAAATAAAAGGCTTTTAAAAAGCTACAAATAAAGGGAAGCAAATGAGTTCTGCTTTCTTACAGCTTGGTAAGATTTTTTTTTAAAAAAATACACGCAGAGAAAAATATCTACAGGTATTCCTCGTAATATTAATAGTGGTTCGCTCCGGGTAGCGGGAATACAGGTGTTTTTAATCTTTGCGTTTTTGTATTTTCGAACACAAACATGAATTGATAGTCTACACAAAAACCGTCTAATTTACCCACTGGCAAGTTATACGCACGTGTGTTTAAAAGCTCCAATTGCAACAACAGTGACAACTCTCAGGAAAGCACTGGATTTCAAGGACACAAGCAAGAAGCCCAGAAATTGCTGGAAATGGGTGGTAACTGCCCCTCGATGACAGCCACCACTATCTCTTTTCAACCTGATTTCAAGTCGCGAGACGGGAGTAGCAGCTCCACTGTGGTTGGGCAAAACCTGAATCAAAAATTATCTCTTGCAACCTCCCAGCTCGCGAAGAGGAAGTGGGAGGACAGGGCTAGGGGGCGGCAGGCACTCACCAAGCGAGCGCAGGGGGATGGGAGGTCGGCCGCAGCGAGCCAGGGACTGATACGGTCCCTCCGCCTTCCTCCCGCGCAGGGCGCGGGCGAAGAGCGACCCGCTGGGACCAAGGCCGCTTCGCTGGAGGTTCCAGACGCGGCCCAGAGGCTCCCTCCCAACCCGGCGGCCCCAGCCCCCATCTTACACGGCTTCTTGGCATCCTTGATCTTCATGGCGTCGGCCTGAGAGGCGAGGGGCAGCCTCGAGTCTGGAGCGCTGGGAAGAGTGGCAGCGACTCCGGGGGTGGCAGGGCCGCGCTCGGAGGCCCGGCCGGTTCCTCCCCTCAACCCGGGCGGGGCGGGCTTAAGGCGGGGCGGCGGCGCCTAGGGCGACGCCCGGCCCAGGGGGCGGCCCCCACCCCCGCGAGGGGCGGCCGGGACCGAGCGAGCTGGGGAAGGCCGCCGGCCTCGCCGTTCCGGGGCCCCCCGCAGCCGCTCCGAACAAAAGGTCCCGGTTCCCCGAGCCGCCGCCGCCGCCGCCGCCGCCGCCGCCGCCGCCGCCGCCGCCGCCGCAATGAGAAACAGCCCGCCCAGGCCGAGCGCCCACGTGACAACAGCGCCCCCTCCATCCCCCGCTCGCCGCACGGCCGCTGGAAGTTGTAGTTCTCCACGTCCGCAGGGCGAGCTCTCTGGCTGCAGCTTTACAGACGGACTACATAGACCAGGATGCGTCTCGGCTTCGCCTCCCAGGCCCCCTCCGCTACCGGAGATCTCCTCAGAATGGTCCCAGCGAGAAGAGGGCAGGGCCTTAGTCACGCCAGCGAGGAGGCCGCCAATGGGGGCTGAGGTGGGCGGGCCGGGAAGTCCCGGGCTCTGCCTCCTCACCTGCGGAGGGAGCAGGGGAAGCGAACTCTGCAGGGCTTGCTGTAGCTGTCCTGCGAGCCTCAGGCTTGAGGCGGAGAAGCTGGTGGTCTTCTTATGGAAAGCGCTAAATTCAGCGCCCCTGACTGCATTTGTGAGTTGAAGTCGTTCACGAAGGAATCCTCTTTTTTAATAGAGATACCTGAATGTTGGGACTGGAATGGTGATAATAATGGCAACAACAACGCTTATTGCATGTCTGCCTTGTTCAAGGCACTCTACTAAGCGCTTTCCGTGGAGTGTTTCCTGCAATTCAGTAGCTTTGTGAACCACGTACAGTCATGTAGTGCCATTCATATTGAATATGGGGCTGGAGGGGGAAAGGTACATTTGCAGAGCACATGGTTTTCGCCATTGTTCTGTGTTCGCTTCAGGGGTCTTCAGCCCAGCTCCCCAATACAGAGAAAGCATGCCCAGAGAAGAAAATTAGGTACTTCAATTCCCACAAGACCAGGACACCCCCTTCCTGTGTCTCCCAAAGCCTGAGATCTACCTCTGGAAAGAGAAAAGGTGGCACTGGGGGAGGGTGTTTTCTGGCCTCCCCCAGTTTTGTCTCTCGGATAAATGGCCAGGAACTCAGTGACTGATTACAGATGGTGTGATTGGTGATGCAAGACAGCATTCCAGGTAAAGCAGCCCTTTTGCCAAAGAGCCTTACTGGTGTGTCCCAGCCCAAACTCATGTTGAGGCTTAAATTCTCAGTGCACTGTGTCAGAAGATGCGGCCTGTGGAGGTGTTTGGGTCACTGGAGGCACTGCTGTCCTGAGTGGATTAATGTCTTTTCTCTGGGGACTAGATTAGATCTGGGAGAAGTCGGCTCTCTGGCAGGACTGGATTCGTTACCTGAGAGCCAGTTGTTACAAAGCAAGGTTACCCCTGGTGTTTTGTTTGGCCTTTTTCTCGTTTGCCCACTTTTCAGTCTCCCATGGGCTTCCACCTTATGATGCCATCCACTTTATGAAGCAGAACTTCCCTGCCTCCCTCCAAAGCTTTTGACTAATACCTCTCATTTTCCTTGTAATTTACCCAGCCTCAGGTGTTTTATCATAGCAACACAAAATAGGCTAAGACGTAGATGGTATAACAGAGGATGTGAAGAAGAAACAGAAGAGGCACAAACTTTTTTTTTTCTGGTACTGGGGATTGAAGCCAGGCCCTTTGTGCTGAGCTACATCCCAAACCCTTTTTTATTTTTTACTTTGAGATAGGGTCTTGGTAATTTGTTAAAGTGCCCAGGCTGATCTTGAATTTGGGATCTTCCTGCCTCAGCCTCCTAGCTTCTTGAGAGGCTTGTGGCACTACTACCAATTTACTTTTTACATTTAAGTTTAATCTTCACAGTCTTTTTTTTTTTTTTTTGATATCAAGGATCGAACTCAGGACCTCATGCTTAACAGGCAGGCGCTGTGCCGTTGAGCTAAATCCCCAGCCCATAGCTAGTCTTTGAAATACTATGATTAAGAACTTGAATTCAAAACAAAATCACTGGGCGTGGTGGGCCCATGTCTGTAATCCCAGCACTCAGGAGGCTGAGGCAGGAAGATCACCGAGAGTTTGAGGTCAGCCTGGACTACATAGCAAGACCCTGGCTCAAAAAACAAAACAAGGCAAAACTTGAACTTGCCAGGCATGGTAGTACACACCTGCAGTCCCAGCTATTTGGGAGACTGAGGCAGGAAGATTGTAAATTTGAGGCCAGCCTGCATAATATAGTGAAATCCTGTCTAAAAGAGACTGGGGAGGGGAATGGGGGGATGGGGTAAAAAAAATAAAATTTAATAATAAAAAAAAGAGACTGGGCCTGCGTGTGGTGGCATACACCTGTAATCTTAGCCCTCAAGAGGCTGAGGTAGGATGATTGCTGCAAGTTTGAGGCCAGCCTGTGCTGCATAATGAGTTCAAAGACAACCTTAACTACATAGTGAGACTTTGTCTCAAAAAACCAACCAGTCAATAGGTAAGGCCAGTGCTGGGGATTTAGCTCAGTGGTTTTGCCACCTGCTGTGCAAGCGCAAGGACCCGAGTTTGATCCCTGTACCCCCCCCCCCAAAATAGATAAGGCTGGGGATGTAGCTCAGTGCTCCAGTACTACTGCAAAAAAAAGAAAACAAAAAACAAAAAACTTGAATTTAAAACTTTTTCCCATTTTCCTACTCTTTGGTAATAAATACAGATTAATCTCTGATTCTTGTTGAGAATAATGATTCTACATGTACATTTTATGGGATTTAGATGGGAAATTAATAAAAGAATACAAATAAAATGTTCAACATACTGCCTGTCATATGGGTAGTATATAAGTAAATGATGGTTATGTTTATTATTTCTGTTGTTCTGTGCTAGTAAGGAAGAAATGCTAAGTATCTAGACTACAGTATTTGCCTAAAGTATCTAGGATTGGATCCCAGGTCTGATAGTGCCTTGTGGTTCCTCTTTTTATTGTTTGCACCATAGGTTCTACATTTCTTGTTTATAATAGAAGCAGCCTTCTAAGCTTCTAGGTGTGTGGCCTGGCAACTCAGAACCCTGAGTGGTGGACTTAACCTATTTCTGTTTCATTTTCTCATCACTCCATCCTGCACTGAGCAATAAATACTCTCAATTGATCATGTTTTCCGTAACTTTTTTGAGAGTTAAAATCTGACATGGCTTCAAGGAATACTCATTAATTAATAATATTTACCCATTGTTTAAGTCTGGTGTGCACACCTGATTCTGTACCAACATATATCTTTTGGTTGTTGCCTGCTTCTTTTGATAGCATTAGCTTAGAAGTCAAAGAAGAGGCACATATGCCTTGTGATAGGCTAACAATAGTATGACAAGAAAGAGAGCTAGAAATGAAAAACCATAGGAATTTGGGTAAGTTTTCCATATAGGCTGTTGGTAGTTTCTGTGGCCGCAAAGATGAGTATACGCATGAATAACTTAAAAGTTAGATTTTTAAACTAAGTAACACCTGTGATATTACTGGAATTAATAACCTACTCTGGGAGTGCCCTTTGGGCTATAAACATTAAATTTCCAGTAGTGAGAAGGTACTCTTAAATCTGCCACAGCACTGGGTGTAGTGGTGCATGCCTATATTCCCAGCACTCCCCAGGCTGAGGCAGGAAGATCAGTTCAAGTTCAAGGCCAGCCTGAACTGCATAGGGAGACCTTGTCTCAAAAAAAAAAAAAAAAAAAAATCTGCCATGGAATGGCTGCATGACCCTGGGAAAGTCCTTTCTCCAAATTACCCATGTGCAGAGTTGGAGTGTTGAGATTTCATTCATCCCTGCCCTTTGAGGTTTCTCAAAATCCGTCCTCCTTTCAGAAGCAGTGTGAAAGGTTCACAATCAGGTTTTTCCTTAAGCTTCGTAAGTGTGATTGAAACTGACAGGTCATCCTGCTTCAGTTTCTGGCCAGTCTTTGTTCAACTCCTGCTGGCCCTTAGCCCCAATCCCTTCCCCCAATAGTTTCTGATTAATTGCATTTCTCATTTCTAGCCTGCCCTCAGTCCTCTGCAGGGTGTCTGTGAGAATGAGGAAGAACACATCTAAAGGGGCCAAGACACTGTTTTCCCGTCTCAGTGTTTATTGTCTACAAAACCCAGTAAATCCAACCCTTCTTTCAGAGTGATAGAAGAAGCCTGACACAAGCCTGGCTTGGTGGCGCATGCCTATAATCCCAGTACTCAAGAGGCTGAGGCAGCAGGATCGATGCAAGTTCGAGGGCAGCCTGAACCACATAGCAAGACCCCATCTTAAAAAAAAATGAAACAGGCCCGGGAGTTTAGCTCAGTGGTGCCGCCCCCTGTCTCTCAAGCACCAGGTCCTGAGTTTGATTCTAGGTACAAAAAAAAAAAAAAAAAAAATTGACACATCCACGATTTGCTTTTGCTGTGGGGGTATCCATAGAGACAGGAAGTGGATTGTGCTTAACAAGTTGACCATGAAGACTCTGGTATGAAGTAAACGTGCACACACACACGTGTTCAAAGGACAGATCAAGCTTGAAACAATGGATCTTGTCTCTAGGTATACTCCATTCTTTGGATTCACAAACTCAAAATCTCACCGTGGGAGGGCATCATATCAATACCATCAGTCAGAATCCTTGTGATCATGATCATCACCATTATAATATTGAAAGCACAACTGGTAGTAATTGAACTATAACTATATTCCAGGCATTAAAGTATGTGCTGGGGGGCGAGGGGCCAGTAATCAAGTTTAATGAATCAATAAACAAAACTCCAGGCTGTGATAGATGATGTGAAGGAAATCAGGTTGATATGCTAGAGTTCCTGGGGTTGGTGAGGAAGGAGACAGTCCCCCCCACCCTAGTTTAGAGTGGATGGTCAGGGAAGCCTTCTCTGAGGTAGTTTTTTTGTTTTTCTGTTTTGGTACTGGGGATCGAACTCGGGACCTTGTGCTTTCGAGGCAGGCTCTGGAACCACTGAGCTAAATCCCCAGCCCCT